GGAGGAGGAGGAGGAGGAGGAGGAGGAGGAGGAGGAGGAGCCCGAGACCGAGCAACTGCTTATCCCCATGCATCCCACAAGACGCGCAGAACCAGATACCCAGGCCTTGGTGCAGACGCATTTTGTGGGACCGCGCCCCGCGGGGCCCGGGCGGTCGCCCAGACGGAGATGAAGGAGTCCAGGGACAAACAAAGAAAGACACACCAGTGCTCCCCTCATTTTCACATATTTTCCCCAGGATTTCTCACATGTCCCAAATGAATACATACAAATCTCAAGGTTTCCCACATTTTATGTATGTTCCAAGTTCTTGTCCCCCCCCTACTTCCCGTATCTTCCCATATTCTCCTGGGAGTCGACGATGAATTGTGTCTGTATATTTTTTGTTGGCTCTCCCTCCTGACACACCCCCGTGGAAAGGCTCAGAGGCTGGCACCGGCGCCAGTAGCGGCGGTGGCCTCCACCGGGGGCAGATGATCCCGATCTCGGTGATTGTGGTAGCACCCCAGACCCCCTCGCGATGTGAAGAAGTCACGACGGGAGGTGTTTCCTTACATTTTCGGCCGCTGCAGGGGCCCTGACGGGGCCCTGGGAGCGTCGAAAAACGACTCGGGAGGAGAAGCTGGTCCCAGGGAAGGGGTCGAGATCTCTGGGGGTCGACGTTGAGAACAAATCACGACGACGGGGGTCTGGGACTCGGGCCTGTTCGGTGGCCGAAAGATTAGCACCAGCACCCAGATCTAGGATCGTCTTCCCCTGGTGAAGACGCCCCTCTGTGATGGTGATGGTGCCAAGGTCCAGGCCTCCAGCCCTGCGCGAGTGCTCGGGCTGAGGTCGAAGATGGTGCGGAGAAGGGGATCGGGCGGGGGGGGCGTCGGACGTCGTCGTCGTCGTCCGTCGTCGTCGTCGTCGTCGTCGTCGTCGTCGTCGTTCGTCTCCTTCTCCTCCTCCTCCTCCTCCTCCTCCTCTCCTCCTCCTCCTTCTCCTCCTCTCCTCCTCCTTCTCCTCCTCCTCTCGTCCTCGTCCTCGTCCTCGTCCTCGTCCTCGTCCTCGTCCTCCCTCATCCTTCCTCCCTCTTCCTGCTCCTCCTCCTCCTCCTCCTCTCCTCCTCTCCTCCTCCTCCCTTCTCTCCTCCTCTCCTCCTCCTCCTCCTCCTCCTCCTCCTCCTCCTCCTCCTCCCACGCGCGCAGCAACCGCCCGCCTCCGCTGCACGAGAAACACAAGCGCGCGGGCGTCGGTGCTCGACACTGGCGGCGACCAAGAAGGCGGAACAAGCAGGGAACGCGAGGGTTTGGGGGTCCTTCAGGGCCCCATGATCTGACTGAAACTGGCGCGCTCCCCTGAAGGCGCAGAGCAAGGCACGCCCCGCGCATGTGGTGGCGGAGGTCGACCGATGTGTCGGTCAGCACCTGTGGCAAAGCATCTCGCTGGGCGCCGAGCGCGTGCAAGACACAAGCGACTCCAGCTACATTCCAGAAGCTGACGCAAACAAGCAGGCATCGAATCCATTGGCGGTGCCCGTCAAGCGAGGAAACAAACGGCGGTCAGACGGAGACCAGCCGTCGGGCGCGAACGCTAACGGCAGTCCGCGACACCGATCCAAACATTTGTGCACCAAACGCCTGTGTGACCACCATGGCGCTCTGCGACGAGCAACCTCCAAACCGCCGAGGTTGAGATTTTTGCACAACGTGGGCCCCCAGAGGCCTGGACCCCTTCCACGGGACCGATTTCTCACCATGAGTCTTTCGGTGACGGTGTACAGGCTCGGGACGGGCCGCGAAAGGCCGAGAGTTGCCCAAACCCTACGTCTTGATTTTGGCACGCCGCGAGGGTGTCTGGACGTCAGAAGATCGGCAGATGGCCCGACTCGCGGCGCAGCGGCCTGCTGTGTGCCCGCGGCGTTCTGGTCGTCCTCCAGGCGCTGCACGCACCGCGCCAGGAAGGTGCGCGCAAGTGCCTGGCGCGCAGCCGCCGGCGCCGACTGGGGCCTTCCCACCCCTCTCCTGTTTGATCTGGGATCTGTGAAGTAACTCAGATTACTGCTCCGCCATTCCTTTGATGTCAAAACACAAGCCCCCTCGGGTCATGACAAAATCACGACGGACGGTTTTTCTACATTTTCAGCCTCTGGGGGCCCTGACTGGGCCTTGGAGCCATCAAAACGTTGCACAGGATGAGAAACCAATCGCTGGGAATGGGTCGAGACCTCTGGGGGCGTTATGAAAACACACAACAGGGGTCTGGATACCCAGACATGCGAAGAAATGTTTTTTTTTCTCGATACGGGGTCCCCAAAAATCCGGGGCCTTTCCCCAAGACCAGCTTTTCATCCCGAGTCGCTCTCTGACGGTCCTGGGGCCCGGCTGGGGCCCGCAGCGGCCCCAAAAATAACAAAAACACGGTGCACAGTTGCGGATCAGCGTGAGGGGACGGCGAGGACGTCGGCACTGCGAGGCTCTGAAGAAGCCCGCCGCAGGCGCCCAACTTTTACAAATCATGCAATGAGCCCGCCGCGGGCGCCGATTTTGTGGGTGAGACGCAGAGTGGGTCGCGGGTGGGTCGCTGGCGGGTCGCGGGGTGGGTCGCGGGTGGGTCGCGGGTTGGTCGCGGGGCGGGTCGCGTGGTGAGTCGCGGGTGGGTCGCGGGTGGGTCGCGGGTGGATCGCGGGCTGGGTCGCGGGGAGGACAACGGGAACAAACAACAGCAACAACAACAACAATAGTTTTAAGACCGTTCGCCCTTACATGCTCGAGTGTCCAATAACGCGTATTTCCCAAACCCTCGATTCCCGCCCTCTTCATCTTCGATCGAACCCCTTTTGGGGGGTATACTTTTCTTCCCTGCAGGCCGGGCCCCGGCGAGCGGCGGGCCGGCCGCGGACCGTCGGCCTGGCCAGCGGCAGCGCTGATTTGCGGGGCGGCCGCGGACCGTCGACCCGACCCCAAGAGGGACGGACAGGGGACCGACCACGACGACGACGACGACGATGACGACGACGACGACGACGTCGAAGACGACGGCGACGACGACGACGACGACGACGGCGACGACGAGCGAAAGCGAGAGCTAGAGAGAACGACAGCAGATCCGCGAAGGGCACGAAGTAGGCCACGAAGGGCGACAGCGGGGACACGAAGGGAATGCGTATGGGGCCACGAAGAGCGCGAACGAGCGGGGGCCACGAAGGGCATATAATGCGGGGCCAAAGAAGGCAACTATGGGGCCACTGAGGGTAGCAACTGGGCCACGTAGGACAGTGAGGGGGACACAAATGGCGACAGCGGGGCCACGAAGGGCATGCACATGGAGCCACAACGGGCGCGACTCCTGGGTGCCTGGGTGTCGGGAGCGCGGCGCTTGGGCAAATTGCAGGAAATTCCAACGCAAGGCTATTCTTCAGTAAGTTGCAAGCAAGTCTCCAGCGAGAGCGCGACTCCAGAGCGCCAGGAGAGCGATTCCTGAATAAATTGTAAGGAAGTCCCAAGCGAGAGCGCGATTCCCGAATAAAATGCGAGGAAGTCTCGGGCGGGAGCGGGGGTCCTGGCTACATTGTAAGGAAGTCTCAGGCGGGAGCCGTTGTTGTTGTAACCCAGGGGCCAGGGGCCCAGTTTGAGCAGGAAGACTTCCCCTGTCAAAAAACAAGGTGCGAGCGTCGAGGGCCACACTTTGATTGAGGGAAAACAGTATGCACCGGTGGGGGGGATCATCAATAATTATTCTTCAGAAATGAGAATTCAACAACAACAACAACAACAACAACAACAACAACAACAACAACAACAACAACAACAACAACAACAACAATTACTAGCACGTGGGGACACTCCGTTCTCACCAGTGCCAGGGTTTTCATAGGAGGCGGGCAATACCCCCACTTTGTGGGGGGGCCGGTTCAAGCTCTACCAAATTTCCAAACGACTCTTCGCCACCACCCACACCCAGCTTCCCGCCCTATGACGTTCGGACACTTCACTTCGTGGCATGCGGACGACCGTGGCTACTATTCAGGGCCCCGCGGCCGACGACGACGGCGTGCGCGCGCGAAGAAAAAACGAATGTGTCCCGCATGGTATTATTTGACAGGGATGATGGCCCTGGCAGGTGCGCAACCGTTGTCGCAGAAGTTCGAAAAAGTTGCTCGCAAAAGCCCGTTTGACAGAAATGTTTAAAAAGTGTTGGGTTTCCTACGAATCCGCAAGAGCGCGCGGGATGAGATTTTGACAATTTTTTTGTTGAAAAACCATTGGTTTTTTGATGTTTTTATGTTAAAATCGCTCCGAACACTAAGCTTTTGGAAGGATTTCGTCTTGCGCGCGCGAATGTCCACTTTACCTTATTTTTTGCAAGGGATTCTTGAAATTTGATTATATTAGAACAAGAAATGTCATTTTATAGTGTTTTTTGCAAGGGAAAGCGGGGGGGAACAAAACAACCGGATCTTGATCACATCGAATTACCTGAGGCTTCCTCACGAAAATGATGAAAATGTAGCTGCGGCCTAGGCGGCGCAGGGGGGCCGTGCACCAGGGGTCCCAACAATAATTATTCTTTAGAATTAATAATGTTCAACAACAACAACACCATCAATATCAACAACAACAACAACAACAACAGCAACAACAACACCATCACCACCACCACCACCACCACCACCACCACCACCAACAACAACAACAACTATACCTACAACTACACCTACAACTACAACAACTATACTGACGCGTATACCAACAACAACATCTCAACAACAGCAATAGCAACAACAGTAACAACAGCAACAACAACACCACCAACAACAGCAGCAACATCATCATCAACAACAACGACAACGACGACAACAATAGCAACGGCAGCATCAACAACAGCAGCCACAACAGCAGCAGCAGCAGAAACAGCACAAACTACAGCAACAGCAACAGCAACAGAGCAGCAGCAGCAACAGCAGCAGCAGCAACAGCAGTAGCAACAACAACAATCCTCACCGCAGAACCTCACTTCAGCCGCGCGCCCAGGGACAGTGGAAGACCGTTCCGCCCCCTCACTCTGATATCGTCGGGATTTCTTTCGCTACGCGAGCAAATCTGGCATGTCTGGCTTTCCTGTCAGAACTCGGCTCCCTGGCGACGATCCGGGCACCCGCGGAACGCTCTCGGAGAGGCGCAGCTGCTGGAAAGCATCCCGAGGCTGGAAAACCGCCCAGAGCCGACGAAAACCTCCAAAAACCTCCCGGCGAGGGGACGAATCGAGGACGGTTCGGGTGTTGCACCACAGACGTGTCGGTCTGGGCGTTTCGCCCGAGGAGGTGCGTCGTGCTGGCGCGCCGCCGCCGGGGCCCCGCCTGCTGCGCGCAGGCCTCCGCCATGTCGGGCTGCTTCAGGAGCGCGCTGAGGAAGTTGTGCACGGCAGAGAGGTACTCCTGCACAGGGGCCTCCCTCCTCCCCACCCTCCTCCTCCTCCTCCTCCTCCTCCTCCTCCTCCTCCTCCTCCTCCTCCTCCTCCTCCTCCTCCTCCTCCTCCTCCTCCTCCTCCTCCTCCTCCTCCTCCTCCTCCTCCTCCTCCTCACGGCGCGGTGACAGGCCGCGCGGTGGCATCCGTGCCCCAGGAGAAGCCGCCGCGCGGTGTGGGGGCCTCGGGGGCCTCGGGCGCCCGAGGCCTCCCCGGAGATACCGGCCCCAGCAGGCCCCGACACGGCCCGCTGGCCTCGAGCCCCCCCCCCCGTGGCTTACCAGACGGTGTGGCCCCCAGCGCCCCCCCGCAGCCCCCGCTCCCCCCCGCGGGGGGCCCGCGGAGGGAGGGCGGCGCGGGAGGGCCGCGCGGGCAGTCGAGCGCTGCGAGGAGGGCGGTTCCCTTCGGGCCCGCGCCCGGAGGGGGGCCGAGGGGCCCGGGGCGGGGCCAGGCGGAGGCGTGGAGGTCCAGGAGGGGGGTTCGCAGATCCCGGCCCGAGGCACGTGCGCGGCCCCAAAGGGGGGCCAGGAGACGTGCCGACGGAGGAGGAGGAGGAGGAGGAGGAGGAAGAAGAAGAAGAAGAGGAAGAAGAAGAAGAAGAAGAAGAATAATAAGAAGAAGAATAAGAAAAAGAATAAGAAGACGAAGAAGAAGAAGGGGGCCACGAGATCTTAGAGGTGTCATGGCCCCCGCCATGCCATGATATCCCACCCCCCCTAGTCATCACCCCCCTCCTGGCCGCCTCTGAGAGGGCGGCAGGGAGGCAGAGGAGGGTGCTGGGATTGGGCCGAGCAGGGGCGCGGCTGGGAGGCGGGTCAGGACGCCTGGTCTGATTGCTCGCGCGCTCGCGCGCGTGCCGTTCGTATCACGAACCATATGAAAAGAGATCGCGAAGCAGAACCGTAGCACAAGGAGCCAGGAAGGGGAGAAGAGGGGCGGAGGGTTTGTCCGGCGATTTGCACCCAGGGGGCCTCAAGGGGGACCCAGGGGCCGCCCGGGGAGGGCTCGGGACGAGAGGCCAGTCTGCAGGTAAAGGCCCAGACCTCTGGGGGTCCACGCCTGCTGAATCAAACAAAAAAAACGTCGGAGGCTGGGCACGCAGCTTTTCAAGATGCAGCTCAGCGGGGGGGACGAGATCGTTCAGTGGCAGCTCGGACCCTCCGCTGGCGAAGCTCGAAAGGCTGGCTGAGAGTGCCCCCCTCTTGCACAGAGCCTCGATCCGCCAAGAGCTCACCAGCTTTCAAGGCCCTCACCCACCAGACTGGAAATGTCCCATGACTGGGCTGACGAAGACCGCTCCGAGTGCACAGCCCGCCGAGTCCTGCTGCCCTGCTGGGGACGAGGAGATGGAGCCCGTGTGACAAAACACAGGCAGGCGTCGGAGCGCAACGTCGCCGCGCGGCAGACGCACCCAGGAGCGCATGCTTTGCCACTCCTCCGCGTGGCCAGCCGCCGACCGCTGCTCTTGGCGTGGCGGGTGCCCTGGGCGGCCCCGGGGGAGCGGGGGGGGGCTCCCTCCGCCACCCGCGGGCCGAGCTCCGAGCCCGGCAGGGGCCTCACGGACGCTCGCTCCAGCATCCAGCACTCCGACTGCCTTACCGCTGGCCGACTGCAGACGCATGAAGTCCTCGCCGGCCGGAGAGTGAGGGAGGAGGGAGCAGGGGGAGGAGAGAGAGAGAGAGAGAGTGAGGGAGTGCAGGACGCTGTCCTCGCTGGGCGACTGGAGAGTCCACGGCCAGCGGCTTCACTTCGTGGTCGTGCAGTCGCCCGCCCACGCTGGAACACGACGCCTCGGCGGCGCGGCGAGATGTGCAGGCACTGGGAGCCATCACATGCAGCACCCACCATCAGACTGGCTTGCCGTCTCCGTTCGTTCACCTGGGGGCCCTCCAAGCGCACACGCGGCGCGTTGCCCGTACAACGTCGGGACGACGACCCTTCCCCCCCTCGCCTCCGGAGAAGCCGGAGCACGAAGCAAGGCTGCTCCCGCGGGGCATCGGAGCAGGCTGCGGCTCAGAGGCGTGGCATTTTGTATGACACCGCGCGAGGGGGGGCCCGAAGCCGCTCGACAGTCTTACACTCGCCTCAGCGTCCATATCTCCGTCGTGGGCCTCGGAATCGACAGGGTTACGCGGAAAGAGGGTCAGAAGACTGTCGAGGGCTGCCTCGGTTGACCACAGGATCGTCGCAGCATGCCGCGCAACAGTGCTCACAGGCAGAACGGGCCCGCGCATTCTAGAGTCTAGAGGCCGCCCTCGGAAGGCCTCGGGATCCTCACCGCATGTCGTTCTCACGGTTCCAGAAGGCGCAGCGGTGCTTGCGGCGGGCGTGCGGGATGTCGTGAACAAACGATGTCAGGGTAGTGATACACAAACCGGCGTTCTCACGCTCGACGACGGCAACGGCTTTTACAATACGTACTCCCACGGACAAAGCCACCCGCAATTGCCAGGAAGCCCACGCAGGAGGTCCTGTGGCGCGAGACCGACATAGCGCCGATTCGTGGGCGGCTGACGGCAACCACACCCAGCAAGCCTTGGTTTGGGACTCGGGATCAGTATTTCAGCAAGCTGAGGAAGATTGAAAAACAGGGATGCGACAGTAAGCATCGAAGTGTTCTGCAGAGGCTGTCCCCAAGTCACTTAGGCCTTGAGATCGTAGCCAAAGGCGGCATCTAAAAAGCGATTCAACTTGAACGGGCGAGGCCTAACTTGGCGTCAGCACAGGGAGGCCGAGGAATCACCATCAAAACTGCGATTCTCCCCTGTTTGTGGCGCCTGTGAGGGCCGAACTCTGGAGCACGACGAGGCCAGGCAGCCGCATGAGCAGGAGGGCAAGAACAGGTCTTGAAGGAGGCCGGCCAAGCCGCGCACACTGGGCAGAAACCGGGCAGAGGCTGCGCGAAGCTCAACCTCTCGGGCACGGGGGCCGCCCTCTGTCTCGCGAGAGCGCCCGTCTGCCAGAGGACTGTCGGCCTCGAGCCACGGGCCCAGCCGCACCCTCCGTGGCCCCCCTCCGCACGACCGGCCCTGCCGCAGCTCTGTCGCCGAGGGGCGGCGAACCTGTCCCTCCGTCACCCCGCTCCGGCCCGCGAAGGCGAGCGCGGCGCGCGCGCGCGGGGGACGCCCGTCGAGCTCAGCGGACTGCAGGCTCTGGGCCAGGCAGCCCAAGACGTCCAGCGGGAAGGAAAAGGCGGGGAAGAGCGGCGACGGCGGCAGCAGCACTGCCAGCAGCCGCTGGAGCGGCAGGCGGCCGAAGGCGGCACCGCGAGGGGCGAGGGCACGCGGGAAGGAGCAGCAGCAGCAGCCGCAGCCGCAGCGGCAGCAGCAGCAGCAGCAGCAGCAGCAGCGGCAGCAGCAGCAGCAGCAGCAGCAGCAGCAGCAGCAGCGGCAGCAGCAGCAGCAGCAGCAGGAGCAGCAGCAGAGGAGCAGAGAGGCGGCCGAGGAACCAGACCCGCTGTGGAACGGCACCGGCGGGGGCAGCGGCGGCTAGGGCAGGAGCGGTTGCTCATTTTCCCAACCCTCCCTCAGCTGGGGCTCCCGTCTTGAATAGAACAATGCGGTGCCGACTCCCTTCTCCTTCTCCTTCTCCTCCCGCCCGCTATCCCCCTCTCGCCTGCCTGCACCTGCCTGCGCCTGCCTGCTGAGGGACCGCACAGTGGAGTCTCACGCAGACCCAAACGGGACCTCGCCTTCCCTGGGAGGCTGAGAAATGTGAAACTGTCGCCACTGCTGAGGGCTGCTAGGGGGGCCAGCACAGCGGGGTCCCACGCGGATCCAAACGGGACCTCGCCATCCTTGGGGGGCTGCGAAGTGAAGCTGTCGCCACGCTCAAAGCGGGGTCCCACGCAGACCCAAACGGGACCTCGCCATCCCTGGGGGGCTGCGAAGTGTGAAACTGTCTCCCCTTTCGAGGGCTGCTGGGGGAGCCCGCGCACGGGGCCACACGCAGATCCAAAGAGGACCTCGCCACCCCTGCAGGGCTGCGAAGTGTGAAACTGTCACCACGTTCAAGGGCTGCTGGGGGAGCCCGCACACTTGGGCCACACGCAGATCCAAACGGGACCTCGCCATCCTGAGGGGGGGAGGGCTGCGAAGTGTGAAACTGTGGCCACGTTCGAGGGCTGCTGCGGGAGCCCGCACAGTGGGTCCCCCATGCAGACCCAATCTTGATCTCGTCATCCCTGGGGGGCTGCGGACATTGAAACTGTCGCCACTTTCGAGGGCTGCTGCGAGAGCCCGCACAGTGGGGTCCCACGCAGATTTAAACGGGACCTCGCCATCCTTGGGGGGCTGCGAAGTGTGAAGCTGTCGCCACTTTCGAGGGCTGCTGGGGGAGCCACCACAGTGGGGCCACACGCAGATCCAAACGGAGCCTCGCCATCCTGAGGGGGCTGCGAAGTGTGAAACTGTCGCCACTTTCGAGGGCTGCTGAGGGAGCCCGTTCAGTGGGGCTACACGCAGACCCAAACTGGACCTCGCCATCCCTGGGGATCTGAGAAGTGTGAAACTGTGGCCACGTTCGAGGGCTGCTGGGGTGGCAACACAATTGGGCCTAACGAAGATCCAAACGGGACCTCGCCATCCCTGGGGGGGGCTGCGAAATGTGAAACCGTCGCCGCTTTGGAGGGCTGCTGGGGGAGACCGCGCGGTGGGTCCCCACGCAGACCCAAACTGGACCTCGCCATCCCTGGGTGAAACTGTCGCCACTTTGGAGGGTTGCTGGGGAGCAGCACCGTGGGGTGCCACGCAGATCCAATGGGGACCTCGCCATCCCTGGGGGGCTGCGAAGTGTGAAACTTTCGCCACGTTCATGGGCTGCTGGGGGAGCCAGCAGTGGGGCCACACGCAGATCCAACCGGGACATCAACCTGCGGACAATAAAAGTGTCACCACTTTCGAGAGCTGCTGGAGAAGCCCATGCAGTGGGGCCACGCACAGATCCAAACGGGACCTCGCCATCCCTGGGGGGCTGCGAAGTGTGAAACTGTCGCCGCTTTGGAGGGCTGCTAGGGGGGCCAGCACAGGGGGGTGCCACGCAGATCCAAACGGGACCTCGCCATCCCTGGGGTGCTGCGAAGTGTGAAACTGTCGCCACTTTCGAGGGGTACTGGGGGAGCCCGCAAAATGGGGCCACACGCAGATCCCAAAAAGACCTCGCCATTCCTGGGGGGGCTTAGAAGTGTGAAACCGTCGCCACTTTCGAGGGCTGCTGGGGGAGCCCGCGCAGTGGGGCCACGCGCAGATCCAAACGGGACCTCGCAACCCCTAGGGGGGGAAGGCTGCAAAGTGTGAAGTCGTCGCCGCTTTGGAGGGTTGCTGGGGGGACCAGGATGTGAAAGTGTAGCCAATTTCGAGTCGGCCACGCCCACGTCGCACGACATAGATGTCCGCCGGGCGCCGTCTATCGCAGTGTTGCAGTCGCACTGTTGTCGGCACACCTTATATCATCCCTCGGTGCCGATGGGTTGGGTACGTCGCAGGGTACTATTAGTATGTTGCATCTTCGGGGCGTGGAACGGGCCTGGCGGCGGCAGCGGCGGCGCCGCGGCAGGAGAGGCTGTTTTTTTTGCCGTGGTGAAACTCCTTTGGCCACACGCAGGAGTGACCCTAGGCAAGAGTGATAATTGGTGCGTGGCCCAATGACGAGCCTTTTGGGGACACCACTAGGCGCGCAAGCCGCTGCGATCGCATCGCATTCAGCAATCGCGGGACCCCATTGGGCCCGCACCGAAGGTCATTCTGGCGAAAGGTCACCTTTACGTGTAGCCGACTCACTCAATCAAAGCGCCTCAGTCCCTCGCCTGTCCGGCATCTCTATGATCGGGGAACACAAAAAGTGGCATACACATAATTCATCGGAAGTCCGCGCGGACTTCTTGGATCGGCGCTGGAATCTCTTTCCTGGCGCGCGGAGCGCGCCAAGGGCGGCGCCGGAGGCGCCGCCAGGGGGTTCCAGTGCCAATTCAAAAATCCGCGCGGAGCTAGGACAATTTATGATTATGTCATGGTTTGTTCCCCGATATGAAAGGCCGGTCCGGGCGGCCACCCGCGGCGTCAGCCAGGCTGCTGCTCTGGGCCGGCACGCCCCCGCCGCCGCCGAGGCGGTGGCTGCTGCCGCAGAGCCGCTCGCCTCATGTGAAGGCATCCGCCGCCGTCTTCCCCCGAGCAGGCAGGATCACTGCGGTCGAGACCGCGATCATGGAGCGACTGGTGTATGGAGCGGACGCTGTGTTAGGAAACCCACAAAGGACGTACGCGCCCAACTATGTACATGAACACGGCCCCTCGATCCGCGAAACCGGCCGCGTTACACGAGCATCTGCGCAATGCGTACTCTCGAAACCAGCGTGGATTCATGTACGTGCACGTCCTTCTTTCGCCCCTGAGAGTTCTGCTGGTCCAGACCTCAGCCGCCCCGATACGCAACACGCAACACGTAGCGTATTGATACGGAGTTCAACACGTATCCTGAAAACGTGGGTCAGACACAATACTTTCTCCAAAACGTGGGCCAATACGTTGAGCCAATACGCAACGTGTTGGCACGGACCTCTTGAGTACGGTACGTGTTGCGCTTCAAAACGTGGTTTCGAGGCAGCTAGGATCCAGACCCCTCGGGTCAGGAACGACCATCACGACTGGGCTGGGGGTCGCCGTCATGAAGACAAAAACCAAAAACAAAAATGCCGTCGGGGCCTGGGGTCCGCCTGCCGGCCTCCAGGGTCGGCGGCGAGCGAGGGCGTTTCGGGCGTCTTCGGGAAGGGGAGGAGGAAGAGGAGGAGGAGGAGGAGAAGGAGGAGGAGGAGGAGGAGGAGTGCACGTACTCAAGAGGAGGAGGAGGAGGAGGAGGAGGAGGAGGAGGAGGAGGAGGAGGAGGAGGAGCAGGAGGAGGAGGAGGAGGAAAAGGAGGAGGAGGAGGGGGTTGTCACGCTGCCCAACTTTCCGTTGTACACCGTCCTCGGCGCCTGAGGCCGCCTGCGCACCGCTCACTCGCCGACCCTCGGCGGTCGGGCCTTTTGCTCCTGCCCCCTCCGCGACCGCTCTCTCTCCCTCCTTCTCCGCTCACTCCGCGCGCCACGCGACCGGTGCTCCCCGCCGGTCTAGACCCTCGCGCCCGCGTTCGCTGGCGCTGTGTTTCAGCCCTCCCCCGAGATATTTGGGGGAGCGAGGTGAATCAACAATCATTTCTTGAGCCAAACATGCACGGAGCATTTCTCTCCTCCCGCTGCCCGTCCCCTGCTAATTATGCTTGCGCTACTGTCCCCCTCAGAATTGAACGGAAGACGAGCACCTCTCCTCAGGGTCGGATGCGCGGAGAGCGGGCAAAATGCCCTCATCTGGGTTCTGCACCTCCGTGATCAGCGAAACTGCTCCCGCAGGCGGTCCACAACATCCGCGGTGGTGCCCAGCATCTTGATGATCCTGCGCCCGCTCGCCAGCACGCGAGCCTGCCACCTCACGTCCCGTGGTCCTTCAGCTCGTTGGTCAGCTGGGTGAGCTCCTCCATCTATTGTGGGCTGCTTATTGTGGCCATGTCGACGAGCTTCTCCTTCTTGGTGTAGCCCGCCTTGGGCCGCACGCCACGCTCGAGCAACAGGCCCCTCAGCTCGCCAACGGTGTAGACCTCATACAGGTGGTGAACCTCCCGTGATACGATATGCCTCCAGGCGGTCTGCACCTCTGGCAGCTCCTGCCTGGCCTCCTGCTTGGGCTTGGTATGCTCCTCGTTTTGCGTCTGCTTCTGCTTCTCGCCGATCGGTGCCGCTCTTGGGTCCCCCTCAGCCGTCCAGGAGGTGCCAGGTGTGATCGCCTTGCGCCTGCCCATGTGCCAGCCGACGAGGTAGGCGAGGCCGCACAGCACGGTGACCAAGCTTGCCAGCAGCCATGGGAAAGCCCCCGACTGCACTGCCCCAAGCTTCTCGCTCCCATCTCCCATCTTGCACTGCTCCGACGTCGCCGTCGCGCCAGGGATCACCATCAAAACTGAGAGAGCCATGGCAGCACTCGTCATCCTCAGGTTCAGCTCGTGCAGGTGCTTGGCCATGAAGTCCTTGCCCACGTACTTGGTCAAGATGTCTGCCGTCATCTCGCGCGTGTCCTCCTTCGCGAGGTCGAACATCTGGGGTCGCAGCCGCTCTTGGATCCACAAGTAGCGCAGCTCCAGGTGGCGTACTTTACCCGCTCCGTGTCGCTGGACCATGCCTCGAGCTGCCGTGCTGTCAGAGGCCACCACCAGCTTGATCTCGATCCCGATCTCGCTCAGGAAGAACTTCCTCTGCAAGCCTCGCGCAGCGACCGAGCCGAGGGCGTAGAACTCCGACTCGCCGCTGCTCAGCGCCTGGGTGGCCTGGCTGGCCGAGTAGCAATCCCAGACGTGGTTGCCAAACCTGATCGTGCCGCCAGAGGTGCTCTTGCGCGCCACTGCCGTCGGCGCTGCCCAGTCCGCGTCGCCGTCGGCCCTCAGGATCTTCGGCAAGTCCTGCAGCTCGTAGCACCAGACCAGGACCTGGTGGCCCTCGAGGAAGCGGGCCAACCGCATCAGCCTCGCGTTCATCTGGTAGTTCGGCTTGCTCACGTCCTGCATGATGGTCTTAGCCGCGAACATGATGTCTGGTCGGCCCGCCGCCAGGTACAGCGCAAGTCCTCCTGCCGAGCTGGTCTTGCGAGCCTCGAGCGTGGGCGTCGGGTCCGTCGCGTTCCGCAGCTGGGCCCCGATCGCCTTGGTGCCGGGTGCGTCGACAACCTTGGCGCCCTCCTTGGACCCAAACTTGATTATCTCCGTCGCGTGCTTCGGGTCAGCGTGCCAGAAGAAGCCAGGCAGCTGCGTCTCAGGCAACTGGTCGACGTAGCCGCAGACACGCTTCAAGTAACGTGCGACTCCAGGGTCTCCTGGTCCAAGCGGCGGCGAGGAAGTGCCCTCGTGCTCGACGCTCAGGACGTCGTCCAGCTGCTCGAGCGTCTCGACGCGGCCCTCCGCGATGAAGTCGTCGCCGTGGACCCCATCGTGGCGTCGTTGCCGCCGTTGCCGAGGTTGGCGAAGTAGAACATGCCTGGGGCGCACTTGAGCACCTTGCCGCCGACATCGCCCGAGGTAGCCTTCACGTTCTCGCCCCATAGCTGGCTGGCCATGCGCGCCCCATACAGGGCCTTGAGCAGCTCCCAGCAATAGCCTCGCTTGCACAGCTCGTTGCCAGGGTGAACGTAGATCTTCTCGCGCAGGTCGCTGTTGAAGAAAGCCTTGCGGACGTCCCAGATGCGAATGCAGCGTCGGTGCCGCCCGTCGCTGTCGGGCTTGCTGGCCGCCAAGCTGCGGATCGCACGAACCATCCCTAGCGGCGGCATGCCCTGGCGGTTGTCCTGGCGCTGCTGGCGGGCCACCTCCGTCGCCACGAAGCGCCAGCGCACCTCGCCAGCCTTCTCATGGGCGATGGAGAAGCCTCCGATGTGTTTGCCTCCAGCCTCGCAGTCTGCGATGCGGATCTTGCGGTAGACGCCGTGCTCCGCCATCGCCTGCAACTCGTCGGCCTTTCCCTTCTGGTACTTCAGCTCGTCAAGGGGCTCGCCTGTGTAATAGTCGTAGTGCACCTTCACCGTCTGCTCGGGCGCGTTCGGGTCGAAGTCCCCGCCAGGCTGTCGAGGCGCCCCGCGGTTCGACCACGGCGTGCACAAGCTCGCGACGACCTCGGCGTCTGGGTTGAGCTTCTTGACGCAACTGATGAGACACCTCCTGCACGCGCACGTCCCGTCATGGTCGTGCCGATAGACACAGCAGCCCACGTGTTCCTCGCACTGGCCCTCGCAGCGCTCGAGCCCTGCTGGGATCGGGTCCCAGAGCGGGCCCTCCTCCTGGTCGCCGTCCTCCTCGCAGACCGCCAGCTCGCAGACCGAAAGGCCCGCGATGACCACGACCTCGGGCGCCTGCACTAGAGCTCCGAGCTTCGGCCGCTTGTTCGACTCCAAGACCTCATGCACTTTGTCCCGCACCGTGGCCGCGGGCGCGCTGACCTCCATCGCTGACGACGCTGACGGGCCAGGGGCCGCCGCGACCGCTGGGGTGCCAGGCGCGGCCAGGCCAGCCGGCGTGCCAGGCGCGACGGCGCCCGCTGGGGTGCCAGGTGCGGCTAAGCCCGCTGGCGTCGCAGGCGCGACGGCGCCCGCTGGGGTGCCAGGTGAGGCCAGGCCCGCTGGCGTAGCAGGCGCGACGCCTCCTCTGGCTTCCTCCAGGAGCTTCGCCTCGAGCCTCTCCTGCGCGATGGTCTCGAAGCGCTGCCTGCGCTGCTCGCTGTGCTGGCCTCTCCCGAAGACGCACTTCGGGCAGGTGTCCGTGGGGCCGTGCCTGATCTTCATGGCTACTGTGATGTGCATGGACTTCTTGATGGTCGACTTGACTCGCTCTGGCATGGGGGCCCACGGCGCGACGTCGATCTGCTTCACGAGCTCGGCGCTCCAGCGGAACTCCTCGGGCATGCGGCGGACCGAGCGAGACTTCACGAGCCCGCGCTGCAAGTCTACCACCAGGTGCTGGTCGTCAAACTCCGACTTGCCTACCCAGATGCCCTTCGCGAAGCGCGCCTCGAACTTGCCCTGGCCCGCCGCGACGCGAGCCGCGATGCGGCGCCGCGCCTGCTCGCCGACCTCCGCCACTTCGCCCTCGTACTCGCGGGCGAAGAGGTACTTGTAGCTGGATCCCCCATGGCTTCTCGGCTGGAATCGCGCAAGGTACCAGCCGACCGTGTTGGCGAGGAAAGCGAGGATAGGGTCCGAGAGCTCGAGCTTGCAGCCTAGCTTAGCCCCGAGTGAAAACCGCAGCGTACGAGGTAGTCCCGCCGCCGCTCCGTCGTTGCCCTCGACGCGCCCCATGCGCTTGGGTGGGTGCGCTGGGCCCGGCCGCACTACGGTGGAGTGCGACCAATGCTTCTTCACCTGCTCCGCCAAGGCGACGATCGCATTCTCGCCGTCCGTGAGCAGAATCACCGTCGTGTGGCCCCAGCTGCCGATGAGCTTGGCCACGTAGAGCGACTTGTACTCGCCGGTCTCCCTGAAGCCGACAACCTCCTTGGAGCCGAAGAAAGGCGTTGGACCTGCAGTCCACGATGTCCAGGATCGCAGGCAGCCCCCCGCGCTCCTTGG